CTCTGAAAAGCACTGTTCCCTGAGGTTATTCTGATGTCAGCTGCAGAAGAGTTTGAGGCCTTCTGTGTCTCCATGTTAGTAACCACCTCAGGTCCTCAAATGTTCCTTTCTCCCAAGAGGCAGCTCTGTAACCTCACCACACGTTATTTAAGTATCCCTTTGTTCTTCCAACCTTCCTTTGTAGTCAGGAGACAAACTCCATCTACATTCAGGCCTCCAAGTCAGAAACTCCATGAAACCTGTGTTTTCTCCATTTGCAGTCTTCTGGCTAGGCCAGTCAGCTGTGCCCTTGCTCACCTCTTCCTTGGACAATTTGTAGGCTAGTTCTTCTCACTACTGTGGGTTTAAATTTACAAATTTTAATTGTATATTCTCTTTTGAGAACTTGAAAGTCACTTTTCTTGCTGGGAAAAAGTTCTATTGTCTGTTAGCAAATTGCTTTCTCCCCCAAACAATAGTCCTGTTCCTTTCCTGTCTTTTCATATTGCTTCAAATATGATGGAAAAGTACTTTATATTGTCCTAAGTATTTTTCACAAGTCTCAGCTTATTTTCAACATAGCACTTTTGACATAGATTTAAAACATACTATCCATATGGTTTTGTATTTTTTAAACTTTACACTATATTGTATGTATTTTCCATTTAATTAAATATATTCTGAAAACAATATTCAATGTCTGTTTAATAGCCTATCTTATTTAATCATTTCCTATTTGGGGCCATTTGGTTTGAGTCCAACTTGTTTTTGCTTGTTTTGCAATTTTAAATAATGCTTCTGTGAACTTCTTGGTACATAATTCTTTGCCCAGATTTCTGATTATTTCCTTATGCTGTACTCCAGCCACCAAATACTGTCCATTTCTTGTGCTCAGGGACTGAATAGGCTGATTGTTTTTCCAATCGATATCCAATGACTATAGTTTCTGCTCGATGATCTCTAGAATTGTTTTGATGAGTGACTGGCAGGAGTGTTGTCCATCTGGCTTCAAGATCTTCCATGATCCTCCTCCAACTTACACGCATTTGCAGCAACTTAGTGTGCTGGGAGGATAGGAGATAGAAGTCAGGGTCTCTCTTCTGGGTGGTAATGGTAGGCAGGTAACTTCTGTGTGCACCTTTGGGTTGCATGAATGGTGCAGAGGCAGGGGCAGTGGGGAGAGATGTTGCCATGAGGGCAGCCGGTTTATGATTCACCGTGAGTTGGGAAGATGTTAATATACAGATCTTTTAACCTGAAGCTGGATGTTAGTTTAAAAAAACAGAAACCCCAAACTAAAATGTTTAGCTAACTATACTAAAGAATTTTGTCTCAGTTTTTAGTCCTGTTTTTTCTTTTCTCTTCCTGCTCTCTCTTTTCCATGTAGTATTTGAGAAAAAGCAGTAAGCTATGTAAAGTGTATATGCTGTTTCTGCTTAAGTATTTCATTATGTGTTTTAATCTGCAATTCAAATCAGAAGAGGACTGAATGAAGACATTCATTTCAAAGAGGGTCCCTCCTAAAAGCATATATGTAGTCACTTATATGGAACTATCTTCAATCCTGGGAAATTAAAAACATTTCAGGCAGCAATATGACTTTTTTATGTTTTTTTTTTAATGGTACCAGGGATCTAACTCGGGTCCTTGTGCTTGTGAGGCAGGCACCGGAACCATGGAGCTAAATCCCCATCTCCTGGCCTCTGTTTCTGGTTAACTTTTCCTGTTACACTATTTTGACTGTCTTCATCTTTGCAAATTTTCTAGAATTTAATCTTTCAGTGTTGTTTGATTTGTAATTGAAGAGTTGGGTATTATTCTCAGGAAGTCCTATCGGTTGTATGGGGATTCCCATGGAAGGATTTCTCATCGAATCATATTTTGGGCACTTAGTGATGCAGAGGATTCTTTGTCTATGTTGACAGCTTTGCCCGGATAGGCATGCAGTTGTAGTTGACTTGCTGGATCTAATTCCTACCAGGAAATACTTGTCTTATGTGGCTGCTGGTGTTGCTTGGATGTGTGAGCTGAGAAATCTATTGGGCTGTAAGTTTTCCATTGGAAATTTTGAAGAACTCTCAGGTGCTGTTGCAAGTGAAGGATAGAACTGCTCCCAGGAAAACAAAGGGCTTATTACATTTCTCCAGTAATGAGGGTAGGTAGCAAAAGTAGAAAACAAAGCAGTTATAGCTGCACCTGTATTGCCATATGCCATGCACCGACAAGAGAAGTGGCCAAACAGAAGTTCGCAGCCGCTCCCTCATAACCTATATATATCTTCTCAGCTGCTTATGGATCTTTCAGAAGGAAAATCAGACACCCTGCATCACACCAAAGAGATATCTGCTCCTAATTTTGTATATTTTTCCTCTGTCAATCCATTCTCAATGTTCAAGTACAGTAGGCTGCAAAGGTAGGTAACTAAAACTTGGTTATCAACAGGTAAAGCCTCAGATGCTTGAAGAAGCACCTCATTATCATCCTTCTCATTTTATACAGTACTTAAAAGTTGGAGGAAATAGTAGTCAAACACCACTGATGATTTAGCAATAATTTAGTCACATGTTAAAATTTATGTTATATGGGGATTTGGGGGCATCTAATTTTATGAATAGGTAAAGTTTGATACAAAAGCAAATGTGTCTTAGTTCTTTAATATTTTTATTGAGTGAACAAAATGTAGGTAGGCTTAATGTCTCTTGCCAGTGTGACAAGACGCTACATCTGTGTTCCTCTGGAGAGGTGACCTGAGGAACAGCCAACAATGGGACTGAAGAAGGCCAGTAGGTGACCACAAGTGGCATCACTGAGCCCAGAAGAAAACATTCTCTTCATATCTTCACCCTGGGACCAGATAACTGAGGGCAGGTCCACTGGCAACATTTACAGCATTGGGCATTTCTATGTGACTCACAAGAAGAGTACGGGAAGGACATAATGTGTGGATAACAGTTACTCTGCACTTCAAGACATTTTATCTGAATCACTTGTTATAGCACAATTATCTGGGAATGAACACCAATATGTATAAAAACTCAATGACTAAAAGTAGAGTGAAATTTCTATTTTCATGCTTTAGGATTTTTTTCTATGACTTAAAAGTAGAAGATAAAATTTGGCTTAATCAGTGGAGACCACGTTGGCATTGTACTTTTCCACCACATAAAACATTGTTATAAAACTCTCCTTGGGGGAGCTTCATCACTTGCAAAAAACCCAAAAAACACCCGAAATCATTTTTTTACACTGAAAAATAATGTGTTTGGTTTGATAAAATAAAATTGGTGTGATCTTTGAAGATTTTTTTACATTTTTTATTTCCAAGTCTTAATTTCAAATTTTTCTTAATGTCACAGTAGATATAGGAATGTGGAAAGAAAATGAACTGAACTGAGCTTGGCACAATGAAAGCTAGGCTAAACTTTGGTGTCCCACAGGTAAGGTTCTTAGGATCTGGATCAAACAGATTTAGAAATGTTGTACAATGTGATCTTTGAAGATTTTTTTACATTTTTTATTTCCAAGTCTTAATTTCAAATTTTTCTTAATGTCACAGTAGATATAGGAATGTGGAAAGAAAATGAACTGAACTGAGCTTGGCACAATGAAAGCTAGGCTAAACTTTGGTGTCCCACAGGTAAGGTTCTTAGGATCTGGATCAAACAGATTTAGAAATGTTGTACAATGGACACTTGAACAGGAATGTGGAAAGAAAATGAACTGAACTGAGCTTGGCACAATGAAAGCTAGGCTAAACTGTTGGTGTCCCACAGGTAAGGTTCTTAGGATCTGGATCAAACAGATTTAGAAATGTTGTACAATGGACACTTGAGTTACAACCAACCTGACATATGAAAAACATGGTTTAATTAGTTTAATGGAAGATTCATCTGCCTCTTGTTATCTATAGCCTGTACCCAGGTAAACATCCATATATCAGCTGTATTGACTTACAATCAACTTGAGTTACAACCAGCCATTGGCAATTGATTAAATTCATAAGTCATGGGTCCACTGTATATTGTAGTTACCTAAACACAGTTGGCATTTGTCAACCATCTCAGCACAGTACATAGAATCAGATGTGAAATGTGAGAAAGAGAATATTTTCTTCTGTTGAGGCAAATTTAGAGCTAAGCAGGTGTTCGTTTGATTAGGTGGGCAGGATCTTTTCAGCGAGCCATCCTAAGTGACCAACAGAGAAACATTGGAGCAAGAAATCCAAAACTATAGTTAAGACCCATTTGTTGGACTATGGAATCCTTTCCTGAACAGCCGCAAAAAATATAAACTTTGAAAAAACTGTCTGTAGATGTAGATCTCCAGTGCACAGAATAGGATCTCACACTAAGAGAGTTCAATTTTTATTGAAAAATTATAGTAAAAGACATAGTAACCAATGAAAAATTAGAAGATACATAAATCACATTGTGAAAAGCAATGTTAATTAAGAGTTATGGATTAGTGTAAAAATCATTACATCAGTGTATTGGTGAAATTGCAATAATTCTCTTACCTGTTTTATTGACAAGATTTTGACAAGTTTAATATTCCATAACCATGTAATGTCATGTGTGATATTATAAAATGTTGTAAGCTAACAGATTATCAGTCTTTTGTTTCATTATTTTTCTCAATAATTTCATTTTTTTCCTTTTTTATACACAAAGATAGTAGTGACAAAAACTAGACTGCCTTAGAATTACAGAGGTCAAATATCTGCAGTAGTATAACATGGCATTTCACTTTTAGTTGGCTTTTAAAAATGGAAAAATCAATTAAAAATATTCTTATTAATATGGCAGTTAAAATTTGACACATTGACTAGGAGCCTATGAAGTATAACTCTATATATCTATAAATTGGAAGAATCTTTTTTTGGGGGGTACCAGGAATTGAACTCGGGTCCTTGCGCTTGCAAGGCAGGCCACCGAACTGCTAAGCTAAATCCCCAGCCTGGAAGAATTTTTATAGTATCAAATACACACACCACATTAATAAAATATTGTGTTTATTTTTAGGTTGTCTTCTTGGTATCAAGATTTAACTTCATAAAGCAACCTGTTACAAAGTGACAATGGTTTGTATCCTTCCATATTTGTTCAAATATAACAGTAAAGATGACATGGAGGAAATGCAGATTGATATAACGAATGGTAATTTTTACTAAAGAGATATATGAAGTAGAGATTTAATTAGACTCAAAATGCTGGAGGATGGCCACAGCTATGGTAAAACTTGGCCTGATAAGTCTTGACTCACATTTTTCATAATGTGGACATAGTAGGAGGTAGTTAGATGTCAAATTGAATACTTCTTAGATATTTCTATGCCTAGAAAAGAGCACATACAGGATTCTGCTGCATGAGCACAATTACCTCAGCTCCACACTAACCATAGAGATTTCATTTTATTAATCTCCCCTCACTTCTACACCTGGATGAAAAGCACCCCGTCTCAGTTCTAGTTGATAAATAAGGTACTTGACTCTTACCTAGAATTCCAAAGTGCAGAATGTGTACTTGTGTGTAATGGCATGTGTAACAACCTGGCTTCAGCAGCCAATTGTTGAAATCAATTGTTGAGAAGATGAAAATTCTATTACAACAAAACTGGTAACCCACCAAATCCAAATTATCAGTGTAAAAAACAGCTTATGATTGCTATGAGGAAACACAACTTATTTTCCTACATATTTGATTGGTCTGTCCTAAATTTAAGTCTCAAAACATAAGGGAAGTACATTTCCTCTAGGTACCTGCACTGCATCTAGGATGGTAGATTATGTGGCATATTCATTTCTGTGGATATTAATGGGAGTTCTCAGATTTGCTCATAGTTCAGTCAGTCCTAGAAAGCCTCATGTTAAGAAACTCCACCAGTCATTTTTATATAGAGATGTATCTTTGTTTAGGTAAGAAACTACAACCTGTAAAGTTTTAATTTCACCCATTGTTTTAGACTGTTTTTTTCCAATATCTTCTATAAATACTATCTATTTTTTCATGTAAACTCTGTAGTGGTGCAGGCAAAAATGCCTCTTGCTCTTATTTGAGACTATCACCTATGATTTATGGGATGTGCATAGTTCCCAGTTTGGATTAATATGTCTCCAAGCCTTGTGCTGGCAGAGGCATTTCAAGATCCTTTCTATGTGGGTGACTTTATACTGGAAGGCTAATTTTCAGTGTCTTCACTGGCCCTGAGCATTTTGACGTTTCTGTGTGATGGCAGCCAAACAGTGGAGCAGCAAAGATGGTAATAGTATTTCAACTCCTGTGAACATAACATACAAAGTACATTAGCATCTCTGTTAACATTATGAAGAAGACACTGGAATGTGCACGTTGTCCAGTTGTCTTTATCTTTTTTTTTTTTTTTTTTTTTTTTTTTTTT